TGTAAAGCAAAAAGAATGAATTTTCACGAGGTTCAAGCAGCCAATATACGAGCGACACATGAACCTAAGTTCCACTTCATAGCAGCTAAATAGGTGAATACTTTAATTAGATTTTTTTTACCTAGCCATTTTCCAGTGTGGTCAAATGCAATGTCTTGGACTGAGTCTGTGTGGCCCTTCATGGTTTTCTCGTAATCTCCTGTTTCATAATCCCACACCTACACAAAACAATGCAACAAATAATATATGTCCATTATTTGAAACAAGTTTCCCATAAATATAGGTTTGGAATAGGTCATTTTTATTTTAAAAAACTATAATACATTTGGAGAAGAAAAAATTATATGACTATAAAAAGTTTCTAACTCAACAATACATTCAGTAACTAAAATATTAATATTAATAATAATAGTCCAAATAATTATAACATCAGTAATACTAACACCTTGTCTCATTCATTCCACAAAACTACATTCAGTAACAATATATCAGGAAAACATCATTACTAGCAAGTCACCAGAACTGTCATATCAATAAATCTTCCTGCTATAAACTTGACCAAATCTAGGTTAAAAAAAAAAAAACATCATTAAATATTTGAAGAAATAGTTGAACTCTGAACTCAACCTCTGAAAATGTTATTTTCATTATTATTATTTCAAACAGCTGGACTCGTGACAATGTTTATTTTTTATTAATTCTCCACTTTCAAAGAACATAAAAGTTACCAGAAGTATAGCTTATCAAACACTACCTGAAATAACCTTCCATCTTCAATAATATTAGTTTAAAAATATATAATAATCCTTATTTGGAGACTTTTCTTTTAGTCTACAAATTAAAAACTTCTCACAGATGTTCCACTTTTTGTTTGTAGAATAAAAGTCAATATATCACATTCATATGTATGATTCAGTTCTGTACAGAGAAACTCGATCTCCTCTTTTGTTTTACCTTCCTCCCCAAATCAGAAGTGTGATGCAGCATTATGCTAACCTCTAATTTCTGTTTTTACATCTTAACAAGTTATTTACTGCTCTGAAGTGCCCTATCCAATGAACAACACAGATTTCAATCAGTCTGTCAAATACAAAAAAAAAACCAAAGCAAAATAAAGCCCAATTTACAATCTTTTACTTTTCAGCTACTCATAAAAAAAAAAATAGCATTCATTTAATCAGCAATTCATAAGCATGTAATCTAGTGTGCCCTGCCATGTCAGTATTAATTTTGACAGACAGATGTTCAGGGTTTATGGAATTACCCACAACTACTAGTTCTACAACTTGATTCTGAAGTCTGTGAGAGAGAGAGAGAACTTATCAAACTATTCAATCACTTCAGTACACTCTTCTGGGTCGTCTTCTTGTTGGTTACTGAGGTTGTTGAATTTTTAAA